TGATGAGAATTTTTGCAACTCGATTTTTCCCTTGATTGACCCGGCCTAACATGTGTGTTTACCAGGATATAGTTGCTGCTGCCCCTATCCTCTTGTTATGTTAAAATTCTGACCAAGTGGAGGCTGTGACTGGATAGTGTATGATCGGAAGTCCAGGCTGTGTCAGCTGGGATCAGTGTCGCCACTTTGATCCTTTTTGCTGTCGTTTTAAAACCCTGCAAGGAAAGTCTACTATCGCTTAAGACTCATCCTCGCGTAAGTCACCGCCTCTGAGGCCACGCGGACTCTAAGAAATTCGGTCAACGTTTGCCATGAAGCAGTCGGACCTCCATTTTGATCCAGTGCATCGTCAACAAAGAATATAAGGAGATTTAGGAAAGTCCACACCAAGCACACAAACGCATCCACAGAAACTCAACAACGGAGTCTTTTGCAATACAAAAGGGATTTTCTTCTTCAATTCTCTGGTTAGTTATATTCGGTGCCTTGGACAGTGTAAATTGGATATTAAATGGTATTAAATGGATACATGGGACTTCTTGATCCTCCATGGAGGCTCTGACAAACCAATAGGGCCAGAACTTAAGCACACATCTTCAGTATCAGTGAGAATTCAGGAAAAGTGGATATTGACTGGATTAACAACTACAACGAAGTTTTCATTCAATGCCGGGTAAAGTTTCTGGGTTCAGACCAACGAAGACATCCTACTTACAAATGGGCTACTTAGACGAAGTTTTTTAAGAAAAGTTGGCCACTCAGTTTGCGCAAAATAGTAGCAAGTGCAAGAGAGATTTTGATCCGTGTCTACTTGATAGTGTTGCTTATTTTTAACAAAAATGGGACTGACCTTGAACCAGCAGGGATGCGGTAGCGAAGGCATAGTCAAGACCGTTGCTAGCATTGCAGCGATATTGACCTGTGTCAAGGGCTTGAGCACCGGCGATAAGGAGGGAGTAATCGAAGCCGATTTGTTCGATACGTGGTGTTGCCAAGGAATCAATCAGGTTTCCATCCTTGTACCATGTCACGGTTAGATTGTCCACTTCCATGGGATCGGTCTCAGCTGTGCAAACGAACTTCACCAGCTGGCCCTCGTAAACCCAGGTCTCGATGGGCGCTAAGGTGACCCTTGTTCGGCGTCGAACAGTCAGGTGACCAGAGGCCTTTGTCACCCCAAACGGATTCGTCGCTGTGCACTCATAATCTCCTGAGTCCGTGGCCGAAACCGACTGAATACGAAGGGGGATGAGGATACTTTTAAGAGGTGTTCGTTTGGAACCGCGCCAGGCATTCAGATAATCTAATAAAATGTCATGAATAACAGAAGGAACAGAGGATATGCGGGGCAGAAGAGGAGGGGGAGGGGGAGAGAGATGAGATGAGAGAAAAGGAAGAGAGAGAAAGTACAACTAGGACGAGAAACAGGAAGTGGAGGAGAAGGTGGATAATGAGAAAAGAAAGAATGAGGAGGATAAGGAGAGTGAGCAGGAGAACAGCGACAAGGAGCAAGAGAATGAGCCAGAAGCGGAGGATGAGGGTGATAGGGAACAGAAGGAGGAAGCTGAAAAGGAGCGCAAGAGGGGGAGCAGGAGACAAAAGATAACGTTCAGGGGGGAGCAGGATGAGGAGCGGAAGGCGGCGGAAGAAGGAGAAAAAAAGAAGATGAGGGGAAGGGAATGAAAAGGGTAAGGGAAGGCGGAGGAAGAAAAGGAGAAGGATAAGAAAGGGATGTAGGACGAGGATTGTGGTAAAAGGGGAATAGAAGAAGACTGGATCTCCACACAATCAATGCGAACGGACAGTTAAATGCTGCCTTACGAGCAGTATCTGTGCTATAGAGACTCTCCTTTGGTGCAGTTTGCGGCCGTCAACTTCAGCATAGTGACCTGATGGCACGGATACACGAGGTGAATATACGCAACCTAATAGTCACTAAGACATGGCTGTCAAACAGATTTTGGCATCTAAATGTAGACAACAAGTGTAAAACTAGCCATGACACCTGAGCATTGTAAAAGGATAAACTGTGGGTAGAATTACCTCAATTGCTAAATCACCATTGGGTTGGATCTGGTAG